ACACCTGAGTATCATATGTATCAAACATAATCTCACATTATTAACCTTGACCTGCAGACTTCATCTATATATTTTATCAATTCCTAGGACCACAGCAATAATTTTGCATTTTTCTAATCAATGAGTTTCATTCAAAGTAAAGGTTGGTTCCTCCAAAATATGGGATAGAACTTATGAATTCCATCAATTTCAATCACCTTATCCATATCTCATAAATCGCTGAAATTGTGTGNCATCAATTTCAATCACCTTATCCATATCTCATAAATCGCTGAAATTGTGTGTCCACTCAAAAGGCCGGAAAACAAAGAATAAAATATTTTAAGTATAAAATATGGGACATTGTAACATACGAATTTCAAAGTGAAATCCTAAGCTGATTTTCAAGTCTGGAACGAGGTCCATGTCTGGAACGAGGTCCATTATCAATACTTAATCAAACTTTAAATTCCATCAACACTGTAAAATCAATTCAAATTTCAGCAAAGAAATGAAACACCGAAAGAATAAAACTAAAAAACAAATTTGTGAGGGAATCCCAGCAAAAGATTAGTTGCAGCAAAATAAATAAACTCAAAGAATAAGATACACAGTGTAATTACTTATTGAAATTGCAGCAAAAAAATAAAAAGATAAATAAAAGAATTACCTCAGTAATCAAATGGCTACGGCAGTGAGGCTGGAGCTGCAAGACGTGTAGAAATAAACTTTGAGTCGGCGCCGGCGGTCTTTGGTCCGAAATAAATCAGCGATGGGTTTGGGTTTTATCAGATCTAAATCGGCTATGGTGCTTTTGATTTTTCCAATTGGAAAATAAAAGGCTACGCATTCAGGCTGATCTCGTGCTGTGTCTGCAGAAAGAAACTCGACCAACAATATAACCGTAGAAAGGATTGCCGGTGACTACAAATCCTTAAAAGGGGGAAACCACTAGAAAGGGTTTTTATGAATTGCTCTACAAAGCGCGAAGCATAGACTTCTAGCGAGTTAAATGTTTCATTGGTCACTGTACTTTACAAATCGCCACGGTTTACCCACTAAACTTTACTAAGCTTCCCAACGGTCACTAAACTTAGCTTTGTTGCACTAAAATGGCCACTGGATGGATTCTGTTTGTTCTCGTGTCTACGTGGACGACGGAAAGGTGAAGTATCAATTAAAGTTGTCCACATTTTAAGTGAGTTGCACACGTGGATACCAAATCATCCAAATGAATCCTTACCTACATAAAAATATAAAAAGTGTTATGTTAACTCATATCAAAAGATTCAAAATGCCACCTCCACACAAAAGGAAAGAAACAATAGCCCTAATCTCAAATCCATTTCATTTTTCACTTCCTGATTTCAGCTGCAAATTGGAAAACCCAAAATCACGCTCAGAAGAACCCTAACCCCAAATCCATTTCAAAAATCCATTTTGAATCAGTTTGCGGTAGCCGGTAGGTGAAATTGGCAACCAATATTGCGCATAGTATGTCCACTTTCACTGAAGGCATTACATGTTTGCGTTTATTTTTTATAAAACTGAAGGGCTGTTGATTTTAAACTTGGCAATGGAAGATCTGGAACAGTGAATTTAGCCATATCTAGAAGCTAGAACTCTCAAATTCCGCCATTGATGGCCGTGAAATCTTGTGGGGTGTCTCTTTCTGATTCGCTTATGAACGAGAAATTGATACTTGATGAGCTTAAAGATTGCCCAGAAATAAGTCGTTGCTTTGGGGAAAATTTTACTAATGAAAATGGTGAGAAATTTGACAGAAAAGAGACGAGTGTCCAACTAATTTTTTTTCAGTACCACCACCAGAAATAATTGCTTTCTCTGCTCTCTCCGCAATTCATAAATTGCAGCCAAACACTGCAGAGCTCTTATTGCAAATTCAGCATTACATACCAAAACATTTACAACTAATGAACAATTTTTATCCCAAGTGTAACTAATTCAGTAGCATTTCCAGAAATAAAACCAATTAACGCAGACAAGAATTTACCTTCATTTCGACATCCACACCTTCTCTAATGCAATAAAAAACTTTCAACTCGTAAGTCAGATTTTTGGAGGCCGTTGATGGAGGTTCGAAATTGATTTCGAGGTTAGGGTTTGGCTTTGCGATTTCGGTTGCAATTATCGTTCTCGTGTTTTCAGCTTCTATATGATGGATTTTGGGTTCAATTTGCAGAAAAGATCGAAATTGATTTGAGGGTCAGGGTTTAAGCAGCAAAATAAAAATTTTATGCTAAGATGGGGTGTTTCTAAAATACAGTTGGCAAGAAGGGTAAATCTGTTATTAAAAACAACATTAGGGGAGGTTTGTGTAATTTTCAAAACAAGAAAGGGTGTTTATAAAATTAATTTAAACTTCGGGAAGTTTCTGATATTTACCAAAGCAATTGGCAAAAATTCTAAAATTCCTTTGTGTTTAGCTGTTCCTTTGTATTTCAGCCATCAAATTGTATACTCACCTCAACATCTCTCTTATAGTTCGTTAATGGGTCGAAACGAGGGAAAAACTACACAAAAATATGTCGGAAATTTCTATTCTCAATCATGTGTAGTGTTTAGTCTACATTGTTGAACAAGAACGGGGACTAAGATCAGGGGCGAATAAAGGAATTGGACCTAACACGGGCTGAGACTGTTGACCGGTGACCGATGACAATTGGACCTAACACGGGCGGAGACTGTTGACCGGTGACCGATGACTGTAGATAATCAACGATCGTAATAGTCGGAAATATAATTCGATACATATATAAATGCACTAAAACGTAAAAAGTATATACGTACGATTTAATTGATTAAAAAATGCCCCAATTTAAAAAAAGTATATACATATGAAAATAAATTTTAATTCAAAACTGATTAAAAACAGTGTACACATGGACATGGTTTAATTGAGCCAAACATCTTCACTGTTCATTTTTTTTCAGTTACCCCTAAATCCTAATTTCCTAACACCCTAAATTCCCAAATAGCATTTCACATTTCACAATACACAAACTGACAAGCACAAATACACAATTCAAAATTATAAGTCCTAAGACAGTAAGACTCCTAACTCATAGCCTCAGTCTCTCAAACAATAAATCAATAATATAACATCCCATTTCTCATAATTCACATTTCACAAATTAACAAAAACTGGAAAAAAAAGAAGAATAAAAACCGAAAATGTAAAAATGAAATACAGTGTGCATAATGCCAAAAATAGGAAATACTGAAAGTTAAGTGACTGTGAAATACGACTGCAAAAAAAGAAAGGAGAAGCAGGGGCTACATACCGGGCTAGAAGAGACGAAGGTCGAAGTCGAAACCGGAACCGGAACCGGACCCGGAAGCTCCACAGCCTCCACTCCACCTCAAGCCCAAAAACTCACAAGTCACAGCTCCACTGCCACCGGACCACCGCCTGCGTCAAAAACCCCAAGCTACGGCCAAGCCCCAAAATAATTTTGCACCCCTGTCTCGTCGCGTCGCCTCCAGGAGAACCACGACTCCAAGTCTCCAACTCTCCTCTCAATCGGACCAAAGCAAAAGAATGGGATTGGGAATTTGGGATATTGGATTTGGTATTTTGGTTAATGGTTCTGTTGTGGCTATTAGGTTGGGCTCATTAATTGGGCTTTTTTAAAAAGAAGGCCCAATAAAACAAGTCTGCTTCCTTCTTCTGTTTGGTCCAGCACTCCTCCTTCTTCATCCTCCTTATGTTCTTCTTGCAGCCGGCGGATGCAAGGGCGAATTCTGAAACTTCCGGCGGACCCAGCACGGGCGGCCGCGGGGGGCTGGCCAAGTGCTGGATCCGCCCCTGTCTAAGATTAGACTACTAGTCGAGCTAATATGTACAAAGAAAAAAATTATACATAAAAAAATTTCAACATAATTTTTTTTCTTTTTTACAATGAAAAAATGAAATGGGTCGGTAGGGATGGCAAAAAAACTCGACAAACTCGATACTAGCGGGCCCGCCCCGTTCGGGTATTCGAGAATTTTGCTCCGGGGCGGGGGACGGATAACCCTCCCCTTAAATTTTTATTTTTTTTAGAATTCAATACTTTAAATGAAAAATTTCATGAAATTTCATTAATTCTAATAGAAAATGACAACTAAATTATTTGTCTATATCTAATGAATAAGGCAATAAAAATAATTAAAAAAATTAATGGGGTAGTAAACGATGGCCCTGCCCTGCCTCGCCTTCAACGGGTAATGTGGCGGGGAAGGGGAGGTTGCCTCGACCCCGTCCCGACCCGTCTCGTTGCCATTCCTATGGGCCGATGACTAGATTGGACTACGGCCCTATACGGTCCCCACTGCATCCATCTCTGCATCACAAGTCGAAAAGAATTCAATAAGACGGATGAACGCTCCAACCTATAGCAAAATGTCCAAGAATTAGGGAAGACATGGACAGTTAGGTCTTCTGATATAAGATCGAACGTAATTACTCAGAAAGAGTCAAGAATAAGAATAGAATGAGATCGAGGATGCTGCCATTGATTCAAAACCAGAATTATGATAACCACTGATTATGATTACCCCATCATTTTCCTTTGCAAAACATATCATGATAATCTTTCCACCCCCAACAAAACCCAATTAATCACTATTTTAAGTATCATAATGCAATATACACACCCCATACTCTATCATAATAGTGTACGTTACTTTCTCCATTAAAAAAAGAATTTTCAAAATTTTAAAAAATTTGATCCAACAGCTCACATTCAACCAATCACAAAGAAAACCCCTTTAATTTTCACTAAAACTTGAGTGCGTGTTTAGGATAGAATAGAGCGCCGTTTAATACACCTTACCCACACCCCATCCTCAGATTCTATATAAGTTATGTGGTTTGCCACCATCCCAAATTTATTCTCAATCTTCTTCATCAACCCTTCAGAATTCAAATTCATTTCCAATTTCTTGAATGTCCTAATTCTTGAAGGAGAGGCCAATCATCAAAAAAGGGCTGCAAATAATTTCTTGATTGGTTAAGAATGTTATGCAGAAGAAGTTCAATTCAGAGTAGCCATGGATCTGTACCAGTGTACCTTAATGTCTATGATCTAACCTCCATTAATGGCTATGCTTATTGGCTTGGTCTTGGGGCCTATCATTCTGGGGTTCAAGGTTAGTAACCCCATCTTGCTTTGCTTCAAAGTCAATATATTTCATTCATTTGTACAAACCTGTTAACTCGACTGCAACATTTCTCGAACAGCATGTTATGTTATGATTTTTGAAGTAATTTTTCTTAGTGACGAACGTTGCCGAACATGCTCGAACAACTTTATACTTCAACATCCTGACTTGTTATTTCATTTTCTATCATCAAAATTGTGATTGATTTTATATATTTTGATGAGATTGTGGCAGTTCATGGGGTAGAATATGCATTTGGAGGCCATGAGTATTCAACAACAGGAATTTTCGAAGTAGAACCGAAACAATGTGATGAATTTACATTCAGGAAGTCAATTTTGATGGGATGGACAGATGTGAGTCCTGGGGAAATCAGGAGAATTATGGAGGAACTTGCAAAAAAATATAGAGGAAATGCTTATAATCTCATTACCAAGAATTGCAACCATTTCTGCAATGATGTTTGCATTAAACTCACTGGAAATCCCATCCCGAGTTGGATTAATCGACTCGCTAGGTTTGGTAAGTACTAATTCTATGATTCACCCGAAGAAGATATATTATTCAACAATTCTCCTACCGAATATATTTAATTCTGATTATCTTACGGTAGTTCTTCACTGTCTATAATAATCAATCCTTAGAATCCGGCTAAGACAAGATCGATCTTTTTGTATGATTAGATAATAACTAGCAATCGTGCATTACACTTGTGATAAACATATAGAAAGTTGTGTTTGTCAGCTATGCACGCTCTAGAGTTATCAAAATTTAATAAATTTAATATACACATTTTTGCCTAATAATCGAGTTGTTATTAAAAGCTAAAGCGATGTTAGCATTTGATTTTAAAATGATTATGTTACTGCAAAAGTGATTGCTTTAAATGAAATGATTCGTCCATGTTTTCCAGTGGAATATGTTTTTGGTGGAGCACCATGTTCATCATTGGTGCTCACTTTTGTTTTCAGAAGAATAATTTAGATGCAAAATTGATGCTATGGTTAATAAATTTCTCTAAATGATCCATTTTAAATTTATTAAATATATTTTTTTCTTGTTGATAAATACATATGTTTTCTAGGTTTGTTGTGCAACTGCATAATTCCAGAGAATTTAAATTCCACAAACGTTGGCCAACACAAAATTGAAGACAAGGGATGTGAAGAAGAGAAGAAGAAACTGAGAAGCCGCTCGAACATATTCCCTTCCTCGTCTAACTCATCTTCATCTTCGTCGTGTTCTCCGCCACTTGCCACAACCAGAGGAAGTCGAAGCATAAATTCTTTGCCTCCATCTTCGCCTTAGGTTCTTAATTCCATTCCACCCAAACAAGACGCAGTGCCAGACAGTAAATATGAAAATATTTTGACTTCTTTTATTTCTAATACTGTCTAGAACTGTAAACTCCACTTGCCGAACAAATAATAAAGGCCTCAATTTACATATGTAATCTTCTGGCCTTTATTCTTTTCCTGTAATCTTATGAGGGGTTGCGAAATATATCAAATCACTACCTTGTTGGTTAAGCTAAAAAGCCAGAGGGAATGTGCAACTTTAAGAACATGTTTTCCCTAACTGCTTTATGCTTATGATAAAGGCACTTTTGCTCGAGTTACTAACCCCTGGATTATTTTTGTAGCCAAAATTATATTCTTTTAAATGCAAAAGTACTTGAAACTGGACGCACTTCCTTATCAATCAATTATAGCATCTCCACCACCATTACTATATTGCTTATGAAACAAAACACCAGAACTTTGCAAAAAATAGTAATCATAGAGTAACTATATTGGAACTGAAGGAAACTGGAAATGTCTCCATCTCCATCTAGAGGTGTAGACTGGGCTGTGGTAGGTAGACCCATGCCGGGGCCACCCTTAGCCCTACAGTTAAATTCGTTGGAACGAACATAGTCCCATCCGCACCCCATAATGCAAATCATTGGCTTTTTGAGTGCTGGGTGCGGCAAGCCAATTTTAGACCTCAACATGTAGGAAGTAACTAGAGGATGAGAAGGTTCTCAAAAAGTTGCAGACTACACAAGATCACGAACACTTTCAGTTTATATTTATCTTTGCTTTATAAAATAAAAAATGAACAATAGAGGCATTTTCAGTAACAGGAAAAGAAGTTTCCAAACGAAAGCAGAATTGAAGTTGGGCAGTCTAATTGTATTTTTGTGAGCGTACACAACTAAAATACCCAAATGACACACTTTCACTGTAGCAGTATGCATGTATTACAGAAATTTCAGAAGAATTTACTAGTTTGATTATAAGCAATGCTGTAGGCAATACAGACTTCGCCATATGGTTCTCACCTTAATCCTCCTTGACTCTCATCCAATCGACAAAGTTATCCAAGACCAAGGGCCAAGCAAGATCTGGATCATAGTTGCTGAAGTCTGGGAAGCTAATCTGTTGCAAGATCATCAAATCAACAAAATTGCTTTAATTACAAGTGACAAAAAATAAAATAAAATTACAAATTTAGACTCAAAATATAATTCCTTGATATACCCTCTTGTATGCATAAATCTCTGTTAATATTTGAAACAAGTTAGTATGAAATGCCTCCTAATTAGTGCATCGGCAACTTCTGCTAATCAGAATGGCATCACCATTTATATCCAAATTGTTTACATAACTTGATCATACAGAGAAGTCACATTTTATGATTTAATGTGAGGTAAAGCATCGAATTACCTCATTACAGAACCGATAGAACCCCATCCATTGATCCAAGTTAATGACCTTGTAATCAGTCTGCATCTGCACCAACCATAAAGTGTATAATATATATAGTAAGTGTTCCTCTGTGCACCTCATCAACTACATAACAGCATAGTACCCAGTAAAGCCATCTCAGCAAATACCAAAATAAAACGAAGAAATACTTTGAATTTGAGCTAACAAAATATGAACCAAAAGAATATTCATGAAACCTGAAACCCAAAACCCAATTGGAATCTACAGTTTGTTCATTAATATCATAAAAATCTCCGCATTCATTCGAAGGCTGAGATTACATGCATAACGGCAGATGCTCACCTTTAGATACTGAATAAGCGCATCGGCTTGGGGCCTAAAATTCGACCCTAGAACAATTTCCAGCAGAATGCAAATGCTTTCAATGTCTATGCTCTTCTGCTTTTCCTCTGAAAAAACATAGAATACAAACGGGTTAGCAGCAGAAACGGGAATTAGAAGATCCGAACAGTAAGTCTGTAAGCTGACAAGAAGAGCATACCAGTCAAGCAATATCTAAAAGCATATGAGTAGAAGTCCACAAAGTTTGATGGCCTCCTGACCTTGTGACAGGGGAAAAGATAGGAGATTATTTAAAGAACCAATATACAATTACAATTTTCTTTTTGATAACCGTGGATATCGGGACCAGCTTGCGCACCTCGACTAATTCCACGAGGTCCTGAAGTTTACAGTCAGGTACTCACCTCAGTGGCCCTGAGGAGACTCGAACTGGTGACCATTGGGGAGCAAACCCAAAGTCTGACCAATTGAACAACCCCTCAAGGTTAATATACAATTACAATATAATACTGATATTGTGATGCTAGTACCTCATTAGAACTCATAGTTTCATCTCAAAGCAGAAAGTTACAAAACCTAAGATACCCATACCTCTTTCTCAAGTTCTGGAAGTGCCTTCTTGATTTTACTTATTGTGTGAACTTTCAAAGCTTTAAGGCCTGCTCGCCACTCTTCCTGAGCAAGTAATAGGATGAAGAGTATTATTGCTATACTTCAAAAATGTTTCAATGTGCAAGTTCTTAAGATTCTGTGCGAGTGTGCATGCATGTATTTGAATACAAACAAATGAGCCTACATTTGATTTTCAATATTTTAATTCTAGGCAGGTAAACACTATTCCCTGGTAAAGAAGAACACCTCCTTGTGCTGTCACTTTTAGATAGAAGAATTTATTAAGATACATAAAAAAGTTTTTTAATTAATTGTTGTGCATGCGTGTATTTGGCATGCACATGAATAAAAACAAACGAGTCTACTTCTGGTGTTCAATATTTTAATTCTAGGCAGGTAAACACTCTTGAGCAGAGAATTATATATCAACATCAACTACCATCTGTAGATGGTCAAAGTATTGCGTTAATCATTTGCCACAAACAAGCAAAAATACGGAAAATTCCCTGGTAAAGAACACCTCCTTGTGCTGTCACTTTTAGATAGAAGAATTTACTAAGATATTCCCCGCTGTGATACAGGTGGTGTAATTTACATTTATGAGGTACATCCTTGCACTTTATTCAACAAGCACAAAAAAATACAAACGCGCACATTAAAACAGGAGTTGAAGCTAATAAATTAAACCTAAGCACATGAATGTATTGAAAGAAACAAGAGAATCATGAGCTAAATCAAATAACATTAGTAGTGAATATACATTTAAGAGAATAATAAAGCTTTTCTTACCCGGGTGAAATATCCTTGTTTTTTAGCTTGCATTTTCCTAAAACCATAATCATCAATGTCAAATTAGATTTTGTAGTACGGAAAAGAAAACATTAAGAAAATATTGCAACTCACCAAGCAAGCATTAATATCCGGACATCGGTATGATCAACTTCCAGATCTGAACAAAGGGACTCAATTCCTTCAGGTCTGCTCTAACATATATTATTAATCATTCATGTACAAGCAAAGATGAGGAATATGGGAAAGAAAAATGTAAAACATCTCACTAATTCCTCAGAAAGCAACCCATTACTTATGACTATGGTCATAGGATAAAAAAACACATCTTACAAGCACATTAAAGCAAATGAAGATTGGAACAACTCAATGATTATAAATTTGTACTTAAATTGCTTGAAAACAATAAGAATTTTACAAAATCTGCTTCCTATAAGCCCTTGTTTGAGCCTCATTTTTCACAAAATGTGGATTTTGTAATAGTAATTTTGTTGAGACGTGATTAAAAAGTAGGGAAAAGTTTTGGATTTACGTGCAAATTATTTTATTGGGGGAATGTATGATTGAAAATGAGTTTGAGAAGAATGGGTTTTGGAATAATGGGCTCAAACATGGGAGTTGACGGGGTCTTAGAGCTAGAAAACTATTAATTATACGTAAAATTGTCCTTCATTGGTGTTAGGTCTCTATTTGTAATTGACTATTCCTTAGACAATTACAGTAATGAAGTTGTAATTAAAATCAAAATAGTTAAGGGTTGGTAGTATAATCCTTGGAGGAGCCAAAGATGTCCAAGAAGATCAAATATGATCAATAGAATGCAATTAGAAGACAAATGAGTAAGTGTTGCACAAGTTCCTCCAAATTCTTAGTCACAAGTTGGGATGCATTTTTCATAAAGAAAACATTTGAATTTGAAACATGCCATTTCTAGAAAAATTGTAGCCTTTGAGTTAGCTTTCCAACGCACTTTAAATCATCTTAATCGGACAGAAACCTTAGTTCGCATAAAACTGTTATTTTTCTACCCCAATCAACCTAAAACACTTCTATTATAAGTATAAAAGCTATGGAATGTTCCAAAGTATGATTAAACATAATTTTCATTATTGAGATCATTATTTGAAGATCAATTACACATTCCCAAATATCTCCTTATTCAACCCCAAGTTCCATTGATTCATATATTCATCCCAAACATTATTTGTTAATGGTTGAGCCTTGAATTAAGTCAAGAGAACATACTTTGAAGATCAAATACATATTCCCATATTATCTTGCCTTGGCCTTAGATCAAAACATAAAAAAATCTTTCATCAAACACCAAAACAAAAAACCCTACATTCTCTAATAAGCCTTCAGAGTTCTGGAGTTTTGGGAAGATGAACTTGGAGTTCCGGGGCTCAAGGACGAGGTTTGTTCAAGGTCGTTCTTGTTGATCCACGCCGAGAGAAAAATGGCTCAGAGTTATGAGAAGTGCGGCCATGCAAAACTAAATGAGATCCTTGGTGATTTACAAATTAGGTGGTCAGAGTCAGCTAAGGTGTAGTAGTGTCGGACTCATTGTAAGTTAACTTTTCTAGTGGATTTTACTGGCAAGTTTGCCCGGAGGTTTTTATCCTGAGTTGGGATTTTCCTCTGTGATCATATATGGTGTTATTTATTTCTTTGATGAATGTTTAAGATTGTTTAACCATAGGAAATAATTGAATTAATTACTTTAATCATCTAGAAACAATTAATAAGCGACTTGTTGCTTTTAATTGGTTTAATTCCGCATTTGGATCTAAACTATTCGTTAAATTTAAACTTTCAATTGGCTAGATGAAAGGTTGCATGCTAAATATAATGAATTCTTATCTATGGTTTACACTAAAGGACAATTTCATGTGACGAGGGAAATAAAGGAATAGGTTCCTAGCTTCAATTATTATTGAAACTTCCAATATGACTAACGAGAGAAAAAGAAAGACAGCATCCCCCATCCCTATCCCAACAATGGGCATGGAAGATAGAAATGTTGGGATTTTACTTATAAATACACAACGGAATTTGAAATTTATCTTCGATTCCGTTAAAGATCGTCTTTGTGTTCATCAGAAATCGCGATTAGAATATTACCTTTAGCAAATTTTTCAAACTCATTGAGAATCCAAACACAATCAATCATTATGTCTCATCTCCTTTGTGAATCTTATTCTATCAGTCTTTCCTCACCACAGTTGTTCAATCGTCCAACCTCCAATAGTTATCCACAAGAGAGAACAATAATGAGAGATTATGGTTTCTTTTATTTTCTTGTACTAACAAGATTATTAATGAATGTTGTTGTATTGTTATCAAAATCTCAAATCCTAATTGTTTATTTATACATGTTTCATTGGCATTGAACCCCCATTAAATATAAGTAGGCCCATTAGTTAAGTAATTAATTTGGACCCATAAATAAACAACCCAAACTAATTCTACAAATGTCCTACACTTGTCAATTAATTAAATCTTAGTTTCATTCTTCTAGATCTTACCTTTTGTGTATGGTTCATTAAATTCCTGATCACGATATCAGACGACATGAATTATTATTTTGATCTAATCAAAATAAAATAAGTTAAAACTTTCATTTTAATTTATCATTAATTCACCTAAATTAATTAATTCATATTCGTCGTCCCTGATTGAGATCTAACAATATGCCAAACAATAAATGTGATGAAAAATGTCATGTGGTGTGACAAAAGCAAACTAGTTCAATTATCGTGAAACTATAATTCATTTGTCAATATAGTTCGATGAGTTACGAGATGTGGAGATGTGTCAATCTAGATTTAATTGATCATACCTTCCGTCTCCCTCTTAAGTCAATTATCGTCAAAACACTTTTCAACTTATGAACTCATCAAGCCAAGGATTTCGATATTAACTTAAGCGAATGAAATGCAGGTCACAATCTCTTACTATCTAAGAATAATGAATTCTCTATTGATCATTCACAACATCATATCATTCTTGTCATACCCAAACGATGTCGTATTAGCGATTATTGATAGAGCAACGTCCAATATTACCAAAATATGACGACCCTCAAATAAGGTACTATGACGAACTCAAGTTAAAAGATCAATTCCACTATCGAATGTTAGTGATTAACCACTGACACTGAGATAATTATCCATATGGAATCTCTATAACGGTCTCCAATCCACGCATCCGTTTAAATGTCGCTACATTTTAACTTGTGAGATCAACTACTCGCTTCATAAGTGAGAAATGTTACATGTGCTGATCTACCGTAATAACGATATTCGTATCTCGTTAATATTTACGATCATAGATTATTTAAGATTTAGTCATATGTAACTTGTATCTTACAATCACAACTCTTTGTGATTAACAAGTTATCAAAACTTGAATCTAATAATTCAATTAAATAATAAATCTACCATAAATAAAATGCATCAATCAAATGATAGCGATTACATCCTAAAGTTGATTGAACCTAAGGCATACAACTTACAAGAAGAATAAAGACTGAATCCCCATTTACTTAAAAAGTTAAAAATAGAAAAATCAAAGCGTACTAGGCTAAGGAACCATGAATTTCACTTCAAACCATAAGCAAACTGTAATGTAGATAACACTTTCAATAAGATAAACCATTAATCCACATGGAAGAAACTTACTCGATCGTATCAGAGGAATTGTTTGCATATGAATAAAATAATTGATCAATACGTTCCAGCTCTTTGGATGCAGCTTTACCAGAAGCTGAAAGAAAACAAAAGGCAGTGCAGATTCAGTAACAGCTAATCTATTTAGAAGAAAATACAAAATAATGAAACAAAATAGAAACTTCCCAGTATAAGTAGAATTATTATTAATTATTTAGATTATCAGATTATGGCACATGTTTTATCTCGTAGTTGTCGTGTTACAAATTCGATTGCAAAAGAAGTAATCTGTGCATGCACATCTTTTTCAGATGCCATAAGTTTAATCTAATTCTTTCGCTCTGGATAAATATACACTGAAAGGAAAATTATTTCTTAAGTTCATTAACCATCTCATTAGAATTCGTCACTGCACGCCAATCTTATTACAACTTGAAACTTCTGCCCCAGTGATCACCTCCACTGGTATCCAAACACACTCACGCCACATAAAGTACCTTGGAATTGGATTCAAGGAATTGGAATTAAACATAAATTTTACTCGGATTTGATTTAAGTTCTCTACTATAATCCTTCCCAAGGCCCCAGTTTTGCGCAAGCAATACATACCGTTCACTAATTCCACGAATTTATATATTCTCCACTTACTGCATTTAGTTCTTTCCTGAATTCAAATAACTGAAAGCGCCATGCGAAGATCAATTGGAAACAAGAGAAAAGCTAACTACCAATTAAAATATTAAAGCCGAAATATAGGTAAAATTGATTTACTTCTCATAAACTTCCAATGATCCCAGCATCTCTGACAAAGCATGATCCACAAAATTAATTCAAGCGATCAATCAAACTTCACAACACTAGTTCTGATAGAAATTCCAATTCCAGAGCATGAAATAAATGTGTGTGGATTCAAAAATTTGTCCATTTAATTTTGTTTAATTCACTTCACTAGAAAAAAAAAGGTATTTTTAATTAAATTTTCCTCCAACATATATTCATAAACGAGAAATCGAAACGGAACTCTTCAAAAGTGTTTAAAACCACAAAATTCAGTTCAGAATAAATAAAACATAAAGAATTTAAGATTTAGGCGCCGAAAGAATCATAAAACGCGCAGTAAAAAATCGAAAATGAAATATATAATCACCGGCTCGAAACAGATCCATAGTTGATGAATTGTATGTCGCGGTAGAATTTGTAGACCCTTTCTTCGATGAAGTCCGGGGCATCCTTTATTTCAATAATCAAAAAATTATAAAATCTACAGAACTAAATTAAGAAAAAAATTAATAAATCTCCAATACAGAGAGCTCTGACCGTACGAGGCTTTGCCCGTGTACCCGCCCCCTCTCCCATGGGACTCTTTGTTAAAACACCT